TAATTAATTTGACATCTACTGCAAAACTTCTAAACAAATAAAAAAAATTAGTACAATTAAAAAAATTGGCTTTTATCTGTGTCAGGATTAATTTAATAATCTACGACAAAAAATATAAAGTAAACAAAAAATGCTTTGTGTACAGTGAACCCTTTTAAAGTAATTTTCGTCTATTTTTGTTAGTTGTAAAATTAGTCACTTAGTTACTTTAACGTTATTTTAAGTTACAAGTTAAAACCAGCTGCATTGGTTCGTATTTGGGGAAAAATTTTTTTTAAAGTACTAGTTTGCAAATTTCTGTGCCAAAACTATGCATTCAGCTAAAAAAAAAAAAAAAAACCAAAACAAATATTCCATTGACTAAAAACAATAGCAGATTTCGTTCAGTTATCCCCTCGAAACACACATTTGATAAAAATCAGAAAATTTCCCGTTGTGACCTCGTTAATTCTCTTAAAGTTTTATTCATACACCGAGAAAAAAAGCTAAAATTTTACAAAAACTCTTCCCCCTGCGTAACCAAAGCGGTATGAAAAAAAAAAAAAAAAAAAAAAAAAAAAAAAAAAAAAAAAGATGAGGACACTCAGGCGGAACCTAATTTCCACGTGCGGGAATATCACCGATAATCCGTGTCGCATAATCGATAATCAACAGCAGAAGAAGCGGAGCTCACCGACGGCGCGCCGAAATAATCAAGCTACTACAGGCTCCCTCTCGTCCCCCGTGTACGGATGGACCCTCGAAATTCCTGCATTAAAAATCTGTTTTTATTTTCATCTGCAAGCGCCTCTCGATTTATTAGCCACATTATATTAACCACGCGCGCGTCCGACCGAACGGCAGAATAAGGCTATCCATCTCTCTCTCTCTCTTCCTCTGACGGCGGCAACGACGCTCTGGCGCCATCCGCCCCATCCGACGGTATTTTTCCAATATAACGCGATGGCACGACCGGCAGCAGCTTTATACATGTTATGGCGTCGGAAATTTATTTTTCGCGACGATTATTACGCTTCTGTCTATACGTCCACACATTATACGTATGGCCATTGAAGACGGGTACCATCAGTTTTGTATAAACGCATATTTTTGCAGCTCTTTTTTTTAAACGCATGGAAAAATACGTAAATACCATTCTCCATGCACGTATACAATACAGTTACGTGTTGTACTTTATTCTTTAATGAGGAGTCGATCGAACGAACACCATTGAAATATAAATGAAGGTAATTATTCCTACATCCATCGCATACAGCAGATGATTCGTAACTGTATACTCTACTATAAGGGACACGTCGCTCTATTAAAAATGCCCGCATATAAGTATGTATCCAATGGCAGAGCGCGTGGTTGCGACCTTGCGAGGTCGGTCGTTCACCTCCTTGCGCGAGGGACCGTATAGGTAAGTATATATTTTTTTTTCTTTTTCTTTTTTTCTTCTTTTTTTCCTGTTTTGCCTTGTACATCGAGACACGAATATTATTTTTATTGCCAGCAACAGCGGGAGCAGAAGAAGTGTGGTGGGGCTCCATTAAGGAATCATAACACTTGGGAGATTAAAAGAGCTCTCGAGACGTGTATGGGCATCCTTGACATTTTTCATTTGGTGTATTAGCGGAGGTGAATATATTTTTTCGTCAACGAAGGTGCTGCTGTTTGTTGGAAAGAGAAAAAAAATATATATATATGTATAAAACGCAAAAAGGGTTACCGAGGTGGATTAATAATTTGAGTCGAAGATGAAGAAGAAGAAAAAAAGCGGTCCTCGTGCGGAGAGTTCTATGTTAAGTAGTTCAGTGTTGGGGATGCATGTCGTTATTCATTTAAAGTTTCGAAAACAAGCAATGCTTCATTTTTATTAAAACGCCCGTACTTGATAATATTAATGTATACGTGTATATATATATATACACATATAAAAAAAATAAAAAGTTGTTTCACGAAAACATTACGAATGGGATAATTAAACTTATTTCTGATTTCCTGATGGGTATTTATTTACAATAACACAAACAGAAAGAAATAAAGTAAGCTCGAGGTTTCATCGAACGTCTAATTTGTGAATATTTATATTCATCGCATTTGAAAAAGAGAAAAAGAAAATATCGGTTAGTGCTTCAAAGGTTTTTTAAAAAGTTGTTATTTTTACCGTTCAAGAGTATAGATACCAGCAAATATCGACTTCCCTTCTGAATTGAACAGGTTTCCCTGTCTACGGCACCAATGGGACTCGCATTTCATGTTTACCCGATATCAATACAGCGAGTTTTCCTCGGCAAGTTCTCCGCCGCAGTTATCGCGTGAATGTTCAATCGTCCGTTGGAAATTCTAGGTAGTTTCTGTTGTTCGATAATTAATATTTGAATTTTTTTCAGATATCGCAAATGCAAAAGGGGAAAAAATAAAAATCTAAGGTAAGTGTGACCCCGGGCTTGTGACAGTTGATCGGATTGTATTAGGCACGTGCACCGTTTGACTTTTTGCCAAAATAAGATACAAGCTTGAGAGACACGGAAATCGAGCACAGGTGGGTACACGAATAAGGAGAACCCAAAATAGATTCCTATACTCCTGGAGGAAATGGAAGTGTAAAAATGTGTTTATTGTTTGAGAGGAAAAAAAAGGGGGGGGGGCAACCCAGGGGGCTATTTAGTCCGTGAAATCGTTTGGACGCCATTTAATTGAATAAATTTGAAATCATTTATAAATCTTTGGTTAGACTTAAAGAAGTATAGTTTTTTTTAGATATACTTTTTTTACTAAGTGTAATGCATTACATTCGCTAAATAAATTGTTTTTTAATTAATACTTACAACATAGTGCACCACAAAATTGTTTCCAGTAAACACTATGCATTTCAATTTGAAGAAAAAAATATTTTCAAAAAATAGTTGCCCAAGAGTTTGAAAAAGTAATTAATTGTTTGAATTTAAATACTCAACAATGATTTGTAACATCTTAAATACACTTATTTGCAAGAAAACATTTTTCTCAATATTATATTTTGAACGGGATATTTTTTCAGATAAAAGAATACACTTTATTCAGGAAAAAAATTTCCTTTCTAAACATTGAAAAATCCATAAAATAGTTGTGCCGAAGTCTGACTATCTTCGAAAAATCATTCAGTTATCATCTAATACGTTCAAGTATCATGATTTTTGACCAAATAAAAAACACTATGTTAAAAAAGCGTGTTAAAAATAGTACTAATATTACAACTACCTATTTTTGTCCTTCAAATGTATATATTTTTAGAATATATGTACATGTATGTAAAATAAAGCAAGTATAAAATAAAAAAAAATACCCCTTACCAACCAAAGTAACTTTTTGTAGGATAACCAATGAAATCATTACAAGTATTTTGAAATCATGTAGACTCCTCTGTCTGGAATATAAATAATCCATTGGGGGACAACTCGAACTTGAACCGTAAAGGAACAGTTTACATAAAGCAAGAGGTTTAAGGACGTTAATGTATGGTGCAAGATTCACATGAGTATCTGCGAAAAAAAAAAAAAAAAAAAAAAAAAAAAAAAAAAAAAAAAAAAAAAGCAACCTTCAGCGAGACAAGTACTCGAAGGTTAAATCGTATTTTAGCTCCAAAAAACTGTTTCTCTTTTATCCGCTAACCCGAGATTTTTGGCAGTATTTTTTTTTCATTTCAAAACGAAGCCGATCCCTTATTTTTCAAAAATCGAAGATGTTCTCTTCTTTTATACCCCTTTTTTTCTCAGGCGATGGTTTATCCTTTTTCTCACAATATTCATACTTAATTTATAAGAATGAAAAAATTGTTTTTCTACAAAGAGGAATTACTTTATAATATTTGATGCATGTAACGATATCCATTTGGGGTGCAGTTACTACTATTTGTAAAATTCCAACGATTTTCAAGTTTTCCAAAACCTCACGTTAAAAAATCAGACGTAACAAGCCTCGAAAGTCCTTGTCATTCATAACTCCTCGACGCCGCACCGTTTAAATTACAGCCGTGCGATAAAATGCAACGTGTCACCGGATGTCGAAACGCTTACGACCATAGCCGCAAAGGCCGTTCAACGAAAATCGAGTCACGAACCTTCCGAATAAGAAGTTCAGTCCACCTGTCGCCGCAGCTCGATAAATATCCTTCCGAACGTCCAACCCCCTTCATCTCCTCGAAAAATCGTCCGTCAGCGCATATCCACCACCATCCGTCTTACCCACCCATGGATTTTACAACTCAATAAATTACGTCGCAGTTGATCCCCGGAAACTCGATTATATTTTAATCGAACGCACGAGCAAGAGGTCAATTTTTCATCGGAGATACGCGCTCCCCTGCACCATCGCTAATCTAATCAACGTCCTTACATACGCGACTCTCTTGTGCAATAGTTCCCGTCGTCCCAGGGAGTAACGGCGCGAGATGATAACACAGCATTCGCCAGTATAACGGACAACAGCACACGTAACGCATGCAAATGTAACATCCATACAATTGCACGAGTGGTCGACGCCGGAAGGCCGTGAAAGTTGTAAAAAATGTTTTCGTGTCCCGATGTGTTGAAAAATTTTCGCGTTCCGGAGCCAATTCTTTATGGCGCGGTAAAGTATGAAAATTTCTCATCCGTTAGGTGGCACCGTACACCATATGTATGTGTGCACAATGCCGAGCACCAGCTAGACCGGTTAATCAATCGTGTCTCCCGCTCCAGGCGATATTTCGCTGGCGCCAGACGCACGACTTAAGGTCGCACGTAGGTATATACTCAGTATATACTTGTCACCTCTTTTTCGTGAATCGAGAAGTAGGGGGGGGGTATCATACGCGCGTGGGTTGGTTTTTTAAAACGCACGATTGCTTCCGGTATTGCGACCTTTTTTTTTTTTTTTTACGTTTATGTAGAGATGCGCAGCCCACGAGTATATATACGCTTGAATTTTCGGCTGTAGAAGCAGGTGTCATATTTTTTTGGGTAAGAGAAAAAAAGAAAAATGATTTTATGCGGAAACAAAGTGTAGAAACAATTTATTTGGTTAATTGTCAATATAAAAATATACTTTAACGCACTTTGCGTGTATATACGCTACTCAGCAGACAATATTAAAACTTATGGTTATGCAAAAATTTACACTTGTTTTTTTAAACTTAAAAAAAAAGGTAAAAATATACGAAGCAAAGGCCATAGGTATGGTGAATTGGAGTATTCATTGAGAGAAAAAAAAAGTTCGTCTGGCTTCTTCCTTTTGGTATCACATCGTCGGTTTCTGCTCCACGTGCATCGATTTTTTTGAAAAATATATTTACGGTGGCGACTCTTAAACAACGTGATCATCGCTCAATGACGATTGAAGGCATGATGAGTTTGATGGGCTATAACAAAACATTATTTTCATCTTTTAATCACTTATTCATGATAATTTTTTTTTTAATTTTATACTTTATAGGACCATTGGAGTATTTTTTTTTTTATTTGAGTTTGATCAAAGATCGAGAAGTCATTTATAAATTAAAATCAATGTTAATAACAGAGCTATTCATTGTCCTGGAATTCATTCAATTTTTAATAAGTCATAGATTTATTACATGATACAGGAATTACCCACTCGAGCGATTCTTCGATCACATTGCTAAAATTCCAAGGTATCAAATTTCTCATATAGCACAAGTATGTACGCTCATTCAATTTCACGCACGAGTAATCAATCTTTATTACCGATACTTTAATTACAGCCTACACAGTATTCGATTGGTGAAAAAGTAATGATTCAATAGTTTAAAATTACAACAAAGTATTGACTTTCAATGAATCTACTATTTTTTTTTTTTTTCACAAATTGCTACGAAAGTATTTTGTTTCTTCCTAAAAATAACTGATCAAAAATGTCATGTTTAAACGTGATTTCTGACAGATAAAATCAGAATAATTTTTCAACTGTTTTATCTGAAACAATTAATTTCTTCTTTGGTTTTATTTTTCCAACAGTAATACAAAAAAGTGAATAAAAAGTAGTATTGTTTGATTTCGCATATTGAAAAATTCTCCTGCTAATCGACTATAAATTAATTATTAAATAACTTACGTTTATAAAATTCTGCGAGGAACGTAATGTCAGGAAGGAGAGCGTGAATCTTTTCCATGACGGAAGCCTTCGCCGCCAAAGATGCATCTACATTCCAGACCTATTCGAAGAAAAAAGAAAAATCGTCTTTAAACAATAAATTTGATAAGTCAATCGAACGTTCGCGGACTGCAATTTATAAAGAAAAAGAGTTTTTGATTTAGTTTAATTAAAAAAAAAAAAATAACAAATTTAGTGCCCCTTCGCAAAGTAGTGTTGTGATTGTGCATTGAATTACTTGAATGAGGTCGTCTCTATCGCGAATCGACACCGTCACGCCGACAACCTCGTCGCCTTCGGCCAGATGGCCGGTGAACTGCTCGCCAATCGACGCCAGTACGACTTCTTTCCACACGGTTGCCTGCACAACAATGCGCATCAATCAGTATCGTTTTCACATTCTTTGACGTGCGAATTTTTTTTTTTTTTTTTTTTTTTTTTTTTTTCTCCAACAATCGAACGGGATATGTATTCGAATGAGTCGATACGAAATAAATGGAGAAAAAGCGAAGCTCACCGTGTCATCTTTGTTACATTTGAAGCGCCAGGTACCACCGTTTTGATTGTACGGTTCTTCCCATAACGGGTATCGCTCTTCTCGCATCAGGTGGTAACTAAATCGTATCTGGAATCATTTATTTTGTATCCTTCGTGCATCGCTTTAGGATACTATTTTTTTTTTATACATAAGATGTTATTAAATACGGACAGGGGTTCTTTTTTAGTAGCTAAAAAGTATATTTATAAAGTTTTATAAAGAACACATAAAAAATGCACAGTAAATCCGTAATAATGCAGTTTAACATATAACGTTAGATGCGTGTTAGAGTTTAAACATTGATAACTTCCAGAACTTTTTATTAAAAAATTATGTAACAAAAATAGAAAAAAACACAAAATGCGAATAAAAAACCATAAACTTATTAATGACATTAGATTAATTTCTGTAAAATAAAATAAAATTGAGAGAAAGTTGAGTGAGATGCAACGTTAATAATCAAGAAAATCTGTGTGATTTGATTTTTTTATGGTGTATTTCATTTTTGGTATTATTTTTTGTGTCGTAAATGCATACCGAGTATTATTTAATGTTTTCAGCCAAAATTACGTTTTGAATTATAATTTTAAAAAAAGTTTCATAAGTATAGAAGAAATTATTTTAAAAAAAATTTTTTTTTTTTTTTTTTTAATTTCAAAAGAAAGAAAAACCGTCGAAACGTTGCAGAGTGAAAAAAATGATAACCAGCTAAAATCAATAGGTACGATTGCTCGAAAAAAGACTTTTTAATGGAAATAACGGTATTTATTTCCTTTTAGCCGCACATCCCTAGCGGCGTTTTCGATTTTTCTCTCCATGCTTTTACTTTGTTGATTTTGACATCAAAATATTGCCAATGCACCTGATAAGAAATACACGGCTAAAATATTCAACTATGCCAAAAAAAGTGCTACCTCATTCATTAATTTTACTTTGGACAATAAATACATCATTATAAATGGAGTTTAGAATAGTTAGAGGAAAAATATTTACAAAAACGAAAAGAATCTACGACAATTTACCTGCATTTGACTTGCATCGGGAATGTGATTGAAGACTGCCCAGAAACTTTGAACGGTACTGACCGTATAAATTTTCTTCAAGTTAGCTTTATACTCTTCAGTGGTTGTCCCAGAAATCGCTCTAAATTCAATTCCATTTGATATTACGTACAATCATTAGAATTTTTAAACAAATGCTAGAGATAAATTTATCCATTATTATTCAATACAATATATCATTTTTTTTTTTTTTTTTGAGTGTCGTGTTACGTTTGTGATAAATAAAATTGTTGGAAATTTGCATCATAAATTATAAATTCACACGAAATCAATTCTGTTAGTGAAAGACATCTGAACTATTTTTCTCGATAAAAAACAGATATTATTTTACTAGTTATTTTTTTCATCACTTTATTGTGTAAGGTAACTTTGGGAGCTTTTACAGTGCAAAAAAAAGATTAAAATGATCAATAACAGGTTTTACCTAACGAGAAGTGAAAAAATTGGGATTTCACTAAGCCACGGTCGGTACGTTCGAAATTTCCGTTACAGATGCGTGACTGTAAGTAAAATCAATCCCTTTTATACTACGGCCGATAAATCGAAAAGCAGCGTGCAAACTCCGTGGTACGTGTTAACATATTTATTTATTATCTCAATGATTCACCGCCAGCTGACAACATTTATCCACAAAATAAGTAAATTCTGCTTTTTAAAAAATAAATAAAAACCATGAAATATGCGATACAAGAGCAAAAACATCTCGCGGGTAAGGATTTAAGGAATAAATTGACAAATACATGCATCCTTAATACACTTGAAAGTTAGGGAATATGAAAGATTGTGCAAGGTGATATTATCGTTAAAAAAAAAAAAAAAAAAAAAAAAATAGAAGCAATAAGATGAAATAAAACCAAAGTACGGTGTATACCTAAAAATACATCGTAATACGCACATCATAATGTAAACACCAAACGTTAAGAGTAAAGATGACACAAAAACGACTCACTTGTCGAGCCAGAAGGTCCAGGGTGTCTGTAGAGGTATGCCGGCATTATCATGTTCCTTGATGTTGTCGACGATCTCGCTGCTGAAGACAGGTGACTTGGACAGGACATCCAAGGAGTTGTCGCCGTTGCTGTTGATGGTCGGGCAGGTTACACCGTTTTCATTTTCCTGGTCGCTGATCTTTAGCTCTTTTTCGCACTTCATCACCACCGAATCGGACATATTTCACGCTCTGTGTATTTGCTCACTTCACTGGTTTTCTATGTTATCTTTAATATTTGCGAGCTGTTCTGTACTTGGTGTTTACAACCAAGCGCGGCCAGGATGAGCGCAGAGCTAACTTGATCGACGCGCCAGAAACGTATACACACCAAAAAGTATGCACCAAATTGTGTCTATATATGCTTAAACGGGTGGCGCCATGTGTGTGATAATGGTTTATTGGGGAGGGGACGTCAACTTTGCATGATTTCACGATTTTTTGTGAGATCACTTCACATTTGATGATCTCAATACTTACACAGAAAGATAAGGAAAAACTTTCAGTACTGCACGCCAACATTTGGCAACACTACAATGAATATTTGAGAATTTTTTCTTTTAAATGCAAAGGTTTGTGCTCTCAAAGATAATTAATCAAATGATATTCGTACTATAAATGGAGAGTTTATTTTCATGAAGTATATTCTGCTTGTAATTTATAAATTAAAAAATACCCCGAAATCAAAACAATGACCAAGCTAGATGCTTGTACACTAAACCGGAATTTTCGCTTAGTTATTGCAAAAAACATGAAACTCAGATTTTAACAACTCAATTGTTTGCGACTATTTGCTAAATTTTTTGCATGCAAAGGCAAGTTGTCCAACAAGCTTGTCCCTCATTTATTAAAGTGTTGCAAACTTACAGCCTTATTAGATTACCCTTGAGTTTTTTATTTATCTGGATAAGTTTAACTGTGTGATGTGGCATGAAAATATTTACATCTTTTCAAGAGGAAGATATTGTGTTTGAGGAATCGCGATTTAGTTACAACAGGTAAAAATCGCATCATCTTTAATTATACATAACGTTTTAAATCAAGGCTCAACAAAACGTTCTCGTTATTAATTTTTTGTTCTTCTCACGTAAAAACTTTAAAGTATTCACTTTTAATACAAATATATTGTTGAGTACTGCACATTGGCTCTTACTCGTCATAGGAAAAAGTTCAGTTCCTGTATCACGTGATGTTTCATACTTGAAGAAAAATTAAACAAGTTTCTTAGCCTCAAAGAAGCTCTTGAGGTGGCGCATCTGCCAAGAACCCATAATAACCAAAACAATAGTCTGTGCAAGAGACCACCACAACACTCTGCTGTTGGTGCTTTCAGAAGTATGTCTGAATCTTTCTTCTCGGTACTGAAAAAATAAATTTACATTATTTCATGATTATAAACAAACGTCACTACAACTAGGAGTATTTTTTAATGTAAATGAAGAAAAAGCTATTCTCACTCTTTGATAACTCTGTTCTTTAGTAATTTGGACGACTTGATCCAAAAGCTGCTTGACTCGCAGTTGAAGCTCTGATAATTTCTCTTTTTGTCCAACGTAAGCGTAATCAATGGCCTGCTCACCGACTTGGATGTTCAAATGTACCCTCTAAAAATAATTAAATAGTATGCACATGACTATACTAAAAAAAAAAAAAAAATTTTTTTCAGCCTAATGCAACATTACAATATGTGTCAAAGATTAAGATTCAAACTTCAGCATCACTGGCTTACAAGTTTATCTCTGTATGATTTGAACCACATGGACGTTAATTGTTAATAAAAACTTGTAAATTAAGTTTATAGACATCAAGCTAACCGCAGTGTAATTGACAAAAACACACGCTGTCACAGTATCATACGCACCAATTGTCCTCCACTGAACCATGCAGTGCTGTTTGAGTACAAATAGATCAAATGTTCACCAGGAATCTGAGAAGTGAATGATATTTGGCCCTCAGAACTGTAGACCCTGGACAGAACGATCTTGTCATCTGGATCCCTGACTTCGACGTGCATACCAATTCCAGGACTACTGGGCATGAATCCTTGACTTCTGGGATCGTACAGCTCAACTTTGTAGGTCACTGGTGTACAGAGTAAAAAAGGTTAATTATCACCACCGTGCACATACGGACGTTAAGGGGTTATATTAATAGGGACCAAATTATTATTATAATTTGATGAAATCTTACTCAGGACAGTGGTATCGTCGGGGACCTCCTCGATAAAGCATTTTCGCTCGGTTTCGCCTATGTGAAAGTACAGACCGGACGTGCACTCGAAGACGACGCTGAGCGCTATCAGGTAACGCAGAGCGTTCCACATATTGATTAACTACCCGTCAAGCCCTCTGATTACCTTGGGCTTGGCGAAACACTCGAATAATTGGTGAAAATAAACGAGTTACCATGAAATATGGGTGAGCGGCTACGGCAAAATAAATACGAAATGGCACACGTCACCTGTTCCCGCAACGTAGGTATCATCAACTCAACCTCAAAGAGACCGATGACCGACACACGACCACGACGACGACGTCACCGACTTCGATAATATATAATATATTTATGCTCCGATTTCAGATGGCGGCACCCGAAAATCTGCCAATCAATATTCAATAATCAATTACGTCTTTTACTATGTTGTCAATTACAGAAATCTGTGAAAAGTGCAGTAAATATACACTTAATAAATAGGAAATCAACTAATTAGTGTAGAATTTTATGTTAAAATGATGGTAAAACGTTGCTTTCGTATTCATTTATCACACATTTTTATTCATTTATTACATAAATTTTGCTATGTACATATTATATAAATTAACTGTTTATTAGAACTATAAAGTGAAAGGGCTGTGCTTCCATGAGTTAATGGTAAAAAGTCTAAGTATTGTAATTTTGTAAATATGGTCGATTTTATGAGCCATATAAAATAAGTAGAATTTTTATGAAAATGGAGGTCGGGTTTCGGGTAAAAGATACATTGTAAACTTGCCGCAAATAGCATAAAAAATGTCAACTATTTATTGTCTATCTATAAAATTATTTGCGGCTGGTTTATAATTAATAAAGTGACTTTACTGTAAATAGCAATAATTGTTTGGGTCAGCGCCATCTAGCGGTCTTTATTTTTTGGCCAAAAGTGGCTCCTAAAATTCTCCATCAGTGCAATCAGGATTAGAGCAATTTAGTCAATTATAAACCAGCCGCAACTCATGATGAAGCTATAAAATAAAAAAATAACGATACACGTGTTTTTGGCGGCAAGTTACAAATCTATCTTTTACTCGAAAATTTATCTTCAAAAGTATAAATAGATAGAAGATCGATTTTTTGTAAAAAGTAAATTGTTAACTTGCCGCCAAAAACACATGTATCGTTATTTTTTCATTTTATAGCTTCATCATGAGTTGCGGCTGGTTTATAATTGACTAAATTGCTCTAATCCTGATTGCTCTGATTGAGAATTTTAGGAGCCACTTTTGGCCAAAAAGTAAAGACCGCTAGATGGCGCTGATCCAAATAATTATTGCCATTTACAGTAAAGTCACTTTATTAATTATAAACCAGCCGCAAATAATCTTATAAACAGACGATAAATAGTTGACATTTTTTATGCTACTTGCGGCAAGTTTACAATTTATCTTTTATCTAGAAACTGACCTCCAAAGCCACAAATATTCCACTTATCTTATACGGCTTATAAAATCGACCATATTTACAAAATTACAATACTTCAGACTTTTTACCATTAACTCATGGAAGCACAGCCCTTTTACTTAATAGTTCCAATAAACAGTTAACTTGTATAATGTGTACGTAGCATAATTTGTGTTACAGAAATCTTGAATAACGATCAAATATATACGTGAATTAATCAGCCTTAAAGAGACAACTAAAGAAAAAAGGCTTAAAAAGAAGCTTAGTCACACAAAGAGTATCTTAAGAATGGAGCATTGGATCTCACTTAATCAAAGAAGGTTGGGTTCTTTGTTTATTTATAACACTAAAAATTTACTTCTTTGTAATAAATGCATTTTTTATTTAATAAAATCCAATTCACCATTCTTAAGAGACTCTTTGTGTGACCAAGCTTCTTTTTAAGCCTTTTTTCTTCAGTTGTCACTTTTAGACTAATTAATTTACGTATATATTTGATCGTTATTCAAGATTTCTGTAACATAAATTTTGCTGTGTACATATTATATAAATTAACTGTTTATTGGAACTATTAAGTGAAAGGGCTGTGCATCCATGAGTTAATAATAAAATGTTTAAAGTATTGTAATTTTGTAAATATGGTCGATTTTATAAGCCATATAAGACGAGTAGAATATTTATGGCTTTGGAGGTCAGTTTTGTAAATGTTGTAATGGTCTATGTTGGATTGAAAAACTTTGAGTCGCTGAAATCTGTAATTTTTTTNAGGATTAATCAAAATGAATTTATTATATAAAACAACTTGTTAACTTTTAATATTTAAAATCATTTAACAGTGAACATACAAGGTCATTTCAATTAAAAAATTAATCAAGGTAGGATTGGTAGGATCAGCTTCTGCAGACTTACAATAAGATTGAAGAGCTGATTGTATAATCGTCATTAATTATTTGTTAAATGTAAAACAAATAAAGCTCTATGTTTCAATAACAAATTTTCTTTATTTACAAATAAACACAAACCCTTAACATGAAATTATGAATTTTCACTTTTTTTTTTATCTTAAACACTTCTGATTAAGTGAGATCCAATGCTCCATTCTTATGAGACTCTTCGTGTCACTAAACATCTTTTTTAAGCCTTTTTTCTTATGTCATCTCTTTTAGACTAATAAATTCACGTATTTATTTGATTGTTATTCAAGATTTCTGTAACACAATACGTATCATATAAGTAAACGGTTTATTTAAACTATAACGTTAAAGTTAAAGGGCCGTGCTTCCATAAGTTAATGGATAAAAGCTTTAGGTATTGTAATTTTTTTCATGTGGTCGATTTTATAGGCCTATACAAGATTAGTAGAATATTTATCCTTTCACATGTCGATTTTTGGCCCAAAGATAAATAGTAAACTTGCCGCAGATAGCACAGAATACGTCAACTATTTATTGTTTATTCATTGAATTATTTGCGGCTGGTTTATAATTAAGAAAGTGACTTTACTGTAAATAGCAATATTCATTTGGATCAGCGCCATCTATCGGTCTTTATTTTTTGGCCAAAAGTGGCTCCTAATCTTTTGATGCAGAGCATTTGAGCTTAGAGCTATTAAGTCAATTATAAACCAGCCGCAACTCATGATGAAGCTATAAAATGAAAAAATAACGATACATGTGTTTTTGGCGGCAAGTTACAAATTTATCTTTTACTCGAAAATTTATCTTCAAAAGTATAAATAGATAGAAGATCGATTTTTTGTAAAAAATAAATTGTTAACTTGCCGCCAAAAACAGATGTATCGTTATTTTTTCATTTCATAGCTTCATCATAAATTGCGGCTGGTTTATAATTGACTAAATAGCTCTGAGCTCAATTGCTCTGTATCAAAAGTTTGGGGCCACTTTTTAGTTCAAAAATCCGCAACGCTAGATGGCGCTGATTCAAAAATTATCACTATGTATACTTACAGTAGAGCCATTTAATCGATTATAAACCAGCCGCAACTTATTATGTAGGTAAACAATGTAAAGTTGACATTTTCTATGCTGTTTGCGGCAAGTTTACAATTTATTTTTTATCTTGAAACTGACCTCTAAAGCCATAAATATTCTACTTATTTTATATGGCTCATAAAAATTTTATTAAGCTAATTTGATTATAACGTTTTATTTGTTGAATTTATCAATGGTCGTCAGTGTCGAATTATAATTTTTTTCCAGTTAGAAATTTGTGTCAACAATGACTGTGCCAGTAAAATGTGGTATGGAGATGAAAAAGATTAGCGGCTCTATAATATCTTGTATGTTCGAAGAAAGAACTGAATCTCGTAGTGACTGTAAAAGGAGGGCAAAGTTTTCGGTAATTTATAATCACTAACAATATTTAAAACTAGGTTCTGTCAAACGTGCTTTTTTTTTGGTCACCTTATTCTTGCGTTTTCACCAACCACGTTATTTTACATTAATCGAAGTTTACAAAATTACTATACTTTATACTGCTCGTTCTCATGTTCGGCGCTAAAGCACAAGTAGAAAGAGACACAACATGGAACATGGGTATCTGTCTCTCGCACATTGCAAAAGGTGGGAGCGTGAATATCCACTGCCGTGCGAGAGAGATAGATGCCCACGTTCGATGTTGTGTCTTCTTCTATTTTTGCTTTCGGACCCGTTAAGGTTAGGTTGGCTTCAAGCAGAAAGCACACTTCCACTGTTTGTTTTCTATACGTGTCTCTCTTTATTGATGCTGTAGCTGCCAAAATGGATATTCTTTTGTTAATATCAATTGCATCGTTGCTCGTTGTTCTGATTGTTGGGATCACATGGTTTTCGAAACGTGGCACAAGTATTGATCAAACGTTTTCAAGAGTCATCTTATAAACTTTATTACATATTTTTTTAAATTAGAATTGTGAATGTAACCTCTGATAATCTACAACAGATGTTAAATTTGTTTTCTCATAGTTAGTTAGTGTAATTGGAGTAACATAAATTTATTGTCAAAATCCACGTTAATTTTTTCTTGAAATATTAGTCTCTAAATCATGTGTAATAATATGGAGGACTAAAACTTGTAATCTTTACCTAATAACTAATGCTTTAAAATTTACAACAGTGTAAAATACAGTTTCAATTCAATGCATGAAGATAACTAAATTTTTATTGTAGTATCTGTTTAATAAATTATGAAATACGCTGTTGATAAAAATATATGGTTACATTTACACAAATTTCAATCTAGTTTTTTTTGTATTCTAGTCACAAACTAACAAATTTCTTTTACTATTTACTGACGTAAAATAAAATCCTTTTTTTGTTTTGTTTGTTGTACTTAGCAATTCTTTAACTCTAATTCAAGAAATGTATGATTGTAAGAAATACATCTTAAGGTTAAAGTTAAGTCATTTTCATCACATTTGTTCCATTTCTACTTATCTCTTTTCACTTAATTCTTAACTGTTTAATATTTTGTTTGTATTTGTTGGCTTTGTGTTATTATGTTGCATAATAACGTTTCATGTTTATTTTTTCATAAATAATTGTTTCATTAATTTTTTCATCCTCTGCAAACTATCAGCCTAAAACAACGTGAAAGGTACACTAGACAACTAACATAATAGCCCACAACATAAATAAAAATAATAAATGAAAATTTCATAAATACATATTCTGTTATTTCTTACTTCACATATGTACGTTTTTTTTATAAGCTGACTGTATTTCATAAATAAAAAGTTAATTAATTAAATAAGGATTGAAAGTATTTGGTGTGAAAAACAAGTTTGAAAAAATGAGCTAGGCTCTTGGAAGGATTTTCAAATTAAAGCTTGTGAAACATGCTTAAATTTATGCCTTTGTTAAATAATATTGTTTAAATAAAATTTTTTCAGAGAAAGCACAACGCGATGGCGCACCGGCCGCACGAGGACAGGAAGCAGTACGACGAGCTGGTGTCCGTGGAGTTCGTCAACGACGTGCCCCAGCTCGGGTGGTGGAGGAACCGCAGCAGCACGAGGACAATGCTAACGAGGATGATGATGAAACTCCAGCCGAAGAATCTACCGATCTGAGCAAAGTTGGTGCTAAAAAGCGTGCTAAGCTGGAGGCCAAGGCTGAGCGCAAGGCTCAACGAGAAATAGGTATTTTTACCATTTATTTCAAACGTGTACCTATTTGGTTGGCCAATACACACGATTTAATCCTGAGTAGGATTTTTTGTTTCATAACTTATAAATTCAGCCGAACTCCCTTCTCTTGCACACCCTACCAAATATTTGAAATGAGCAGTTGTATGTGTAACATTAATGCGAAAAAAACTAAATTTTTGTATCCAAGGCACGATTGCTTAATTGCTACTAAATTAAAAAGTATAACTATATTAGTATGTAATTTTTTAAATTATTTTAATTCATAAATGTCAACACTATATTACATCAGTTTTACACCTATTTTTATTGATTATCGTTATTTAGAACGTAATGATCACATGTTAGTTATAAATACGTAATGAAAATAAATAGAACAAAATTTCCAATTTTCCTGGACCACATATAAATATGAAACATAGGTTGTAGGAGAGACCATCCCTATTACAATTCGAATATATTTAATCCATTTTTTTTGTGACACCGAACGCGCAAGTCTTACATTTTTAAAGATATTACTCAAGAAAATGACTTTTCCGCCCTCGGGTGGTTTTGGGAGGCTGGTACTTCCTCCGGCGAAAAAGCAGTTTTCCGGAACTCGTTCGAAAAGTCTCCTTTACGAACCTCATTACGTCCCTCGCCTTCGGCTCGGGCCGCAAACCTCTCGGTTCGCAAACAGAGACTTTTCAAACTCGTAGGAAAACTACTATTTTAAACCTGTAAAACTTCTTTTCTGACTATGAAGAAACAAAAATACCTATTTTTAGGTATACATAGTGGTTTAAAGTTTAGTTTTTTGAAAATCACAGATAACAGATTTATATCATTCAAAATATAAATTCTCTTACAAAAAATACCACAGTTTGACAACAAACATATTTACCTTTCTCATGTATTAATGCATCATACTTTTATTTATAAAAGTTTCGAAACACTAGATTCACAAAAAAAAAGCCCACGACAGTTAATTGCGTGGCCCGACTAAAAAACAGCTAATGTCACGTGATTAATTATACCTGCGTAGATATGATCACGTGATCCATCACGTGATTTGATTTAAAAAGCACGTGATTATTTTCTTGAAAGAGAATAAGTAAAAAAAAAATGAATGATTATAAAGTCTCGTAACAAGGATTCCTAACACTATATAGCCAGAATTGCGAGAATTATAATTTTAATGACCTGAAAACGAAGAGAGTTCCATATTTAAAAGAAGCGCGCAATGAAAAACATGAATAATGCTAATAGACGCTAAAATACATACAAGATCCCCGTGCGTGTCTATGCCGTAAAAAGAGAATCATCGGCGCTGGAACTTTCATTTTGCATACACGTAAACTGTGTGAGTGAATCACACGACGCGCGTGGAGTATAGGAATTATCTGGTTAAGGGAAGCTCACCAATGAACCTCCAGTTTCTCTGTACTTTGTTATTTAGTAACTTTTTTACTTAACGCGTCAAGGTACATATTTTTTAAGGCATAGGTATAAAGTTGAGAGTATTAAGGTAGTAGTCGATCAAAAACACTTTTCTTACGATTTTTCTAAAATTTTGTGTGTGCCTTAAGATTGCTATTATTTATCATGAGCCAAAATTTGAAGAGGCTTAGCGGTATAGTTTTGGAGATATTAAAGTTTTAATGTTGAACTTTTAACACAGGAGGTATAGGAAAGCGCCGGATTGGGGGTCGATTTGTGTACGAAATTGCTTATATCTCTAAAACGCCTCTTACAATGTTTCGTAAAAAATAGTATGATATAATTTATATTATAAAGCAACTGTGGTTCCAATTTAAAAGGGCTCAGCGGTATAGTTTTGTTGTTCGAGCTTTGCAAAGTTGATAAATTCAGTGAAATTCGCTCCTACAACGTTGTCATTTTTCGAGATAGTTGTCGAAGCGATATATATATATATAGTATACGCATACGCTACAGCGCATTATGGCACGCACTGTAGAGTGCTCGACTACTACCTTAACTATGACGCTCAAGCCTGTGACGATACATCGCAGACTGACTGCGTGAGTCAATTAAAGATCTTGACTGCATTAGTACATTGAAAAACGTTTAATAGAAAAATGCTTAATCAAAATTATTACACCTTTCGATAATTGTATAGAAAAACAAGAAAAGAAAAAAAAATGAGTTATACTTCAAAAAATTTTGAAAATCATGGTCACCAAGTGGTTAAGCCGTACGACTTTTGCATGAAACTTTTATCGATTTAATGAGTTTCAATTGGGGTACATACGTTAATGTCTGAAGATAAAAAAAAAAAAAAAAAAAACTCGCCTCGTAGAACACAAAAAAATAGATTTGCATCATTGACAGATGAAATATTTAATTTTCTTTTACAAGTAGTTCTTAATTTTAACCAATTGTCATATTACAGAGGGGCGTGAGCGCGAGGAGCGCAAACGCCGCGATCAGCAGCAGCAGGAGGAGCGGGACAAGCAGAGCGCCCTCGAGCGCGAGGAAGAGCGAAAACAAGAAGAGGCCGAGCGAAAGGCTCGCGAGGAAAAGGAGAGGCGGGAGCAGGAGGAGTACCTCAAGCTCAAAGAGGCCTTCAGCATCGAGGGGGAAGGCTACGAGGAAAAGGACGAGGAGGCCGAGAGGAACCTGCTCCAGGAGTTCGTCGACTACATCAAAAGCAGCAAGGTCGTCCTTCTCGAGGATCTGGCCCAGCAGTTCAATTTGAGGACGACCCACGCGATCGAGCGAATCCAGCAGATGCTGTCCGATGGCATACTCAGTGGTGTGATCGATGACCGTGGCAAGTTTATTTACATAGCGCGGGAGGAGCTCGAGGCCGTGGCCAAGTTCATCCGACAGCGGGGGCGGGTCAGCATCGCCGAGTTAGCCGAGAAGTCGAACGATCTCATCAATCTCAACCCGGGAACTCAGTGCAAACCTGTCGAGGCTTAGGATACGTGTAGCTGCTGACGTGACTGGGATTGGGGATTACGATTGGATCTTTCGTGGGGATCAATGTACATAATTGAATATATATTTTTAACGTTATTTAATAAAAAAAACTTCTTTTTTTTTCTATACAACGATTGGTATTTTTACTGTATCTTTTTTCCCCAATTCCAAACAGTTGGTTGAAAATATGGTGAATGGCATTCTGATGGAAAGTTGATGGAAATGGAAATTTTTTTTAGTTTTTTTTTTTTAACACCAAGTGGCTAAATTTATTCAAAAGAAACTTGCGTTTCTACGCACAAGGCTTTACTGCTATAATTTTTATTGGGTACAAAAATTTTAATTAGAATTTATAGGAGTAACGGGTACAGTTGTTGACCCCCTGATAGTGATTGACCACCACATGTATTTTTAAATGGAGCCTTTATATATAGATATACAAATTATACATGGGGTCAATCACTACCTTAAGGTGTCAATAACTGTACCGTTTACCCCTACTGTGATATTACTAATTTTTTACAAATATTAATTTTACTGTTTTCGCTACATTTTATAATTTTTTTTGTTTCTATTACATAGTTGTATAAAATAATACTAATTATTATGTGGTACTTACGATAGCATATAGCTGTACTGAATATTATTTGATCACGATTATGCTGTTGCATATTAAAAATATTTGAAATGAGCAGTTGTATGTGTAACATTAATGCGAAAAAAACTAAATTTTTGTATCCAAGGCACGATTGCTTAATTGCTACTAAATTAAAAAGTATAACTATATTAGTATGTAATTTTTTAAATTATTTTAATTCATAAATGTCAACACTATATTACATCAGTTTTACACCTATTTTTATTGATTATCGTTATTTAGAACGTAATGATCACATGTTAGTTATAAATACGTAATGAAAATAAATAGAACAAAATTTCCAATTTTCCTGGACCACATATAAATATGAAACATAGGTTGTAGGAGAGACCATCCCTATTACAATTCGAATATATTTAATCCATTTTTTTTGTGACACCGAACGCGCAAGTCTTACATTTTTAAAGATATTACTCAAGAAAATGACTTTTCCGCCCTCGGGTGGTTTTGGGAGGCTGGTACTTCCTCCGGCGAAAAAGCAGTTTTCCGCNGAGATAAAACAGAATTAAAAAATTTTTTGTTATCAAATAAAGAAATAAGTAATGTAAGGCAAACGTGTTACCTTGAGTATAAGACAAACAACATAATAACGATTTCTAATTAGGTATCACACCAGTGGATTGGACAGTCCGACTCAAAGAGCGTATAGAAACTGGTTTGCAAAATTTTATAAAGTTTGCTTTCAATAAACTTTCTGATCAATAAGTTGTTTATTCTGAAAGAAAAATGAGGAAAACAGAATAAATAATAGTTATGCATGTTAATGTTAGGAATCTCCTAAAAATAAGCCAAAAACTGCGTTCTTTCCTTTCCGAGATATTGACTCATTTTTAAGGTCAAATCATTTCGGAAACGCGTGAACGTCATCACGTACGCGAGTCCAGAGAACAAAGAAGGCGTGAGCATGGTATGATATGGGTAGGTTTATCCTGCCATTTGTACGTCTACGTGCCTGCCTCGGCTGACATCAAGTACCACAAGGAAGTCGATGCTAATTCAAACGTTACGGGGAACGTTATTCGTTCATTAATTATTCAAATTCTCGAGCGCGTCCTGAATCAACAGATTAATATACATATATATATGGCTATACTTCGTATAATCGAAAAAAAAATCAAACTTGTTTCGTAAAGGTAGTTTTTTAGTCTACAGAATTTCGCAACGTCATACTTTGGAGACTACTTTAATATCAAAAATTTGCAAATTCATCAATGTTATTAAAATAAACATTAATATGAAATAACAAAGAATTTTGATGATATCCTGCACTTGCTTATTAGTTATTCCAATGGACGACGCTGTTGCCTATCTTCTTATTAAACTGAATACAATTTATGGTCTTCATGTTCTTTTAAGAAAAACACAGTATTACATAACTTTTAAATACCTTTTTAACGAAAATGGGAATCAGTGAGATTTACAAAAACAAAAATTATTTGCCACAAGCGCTCTAGATTATTATTACATTAAAGTTGAGATGACCTGAATATAATGATGATATTCACGTAGGTTTTAGCAACTTTCTGTCGACATTGAATTTAGTTTTTATAATTAATAAAATGTTTTAGTGTAAGTTTCCTTTAGAAAAAAATGAAAAAAAAAAATCTGAACCATATTCTACCAAATTACCAAACACTAAATTACTGATAGGTAAGATGTATTTTTTCTTCGTATAGGTTCACTCACGTGTTTCGTTTTGGACAGCTGGTGAGTATTGAATATTACTAAACTTTCACAGAACAAATAGTGGAAATTATCGTGACTATATTTGGATCTGTAAAAGATGCAGAAATTCCTTGTGCAAACATAACTCAGTACTAAAGTTTCTGTAGTTTTGACAAAACAGAACAAGAATACAATATAAGCAGCAATTTTACCACATGAATAGTCAATACAAAGAAAAAAAAAATATTGACCGTAAGATCTTTTAAGTTGAATTTGGCCAAGTAAACATCGTAGTTTTTCTACATAATTATTACGAACATCAAAGAGAATGTTCCATGATATCTGCATATGGCGCATCTGACGCCACTGATTTCAGTGTTGCATCAGATTCTAGTTTGCCTTAACTGCACATTATAAGCGCGTCAAACGTAGTTTTTGCGATGAATCAGCTATCTTTTTTACAAATCTACATTGCTTTCTAAAAATAAATAACATATTAGTAAACAAAAAAATAACATTCACGGTTTCTTATACGAGTGAACGTTAACGTTCGTCATTTTGTTGTTGCGCCAAGAGCACTGGTTGAGATTGTTATGATACAAACATATTTTATCAAGGAAAATTATACTGCATTTTGAACATTTTTTGCTTAATCTTCTAAATTAAATTTTTTAATTAATCAAGTGTAAACATAAATAAATTTATGGAAAAATTCAACATTCTCTATGCCTGATTCATGAATAAGAGTTGAACGATGGGGGAAATCTTAATTTTACTATGAGAAAACAAAAAATCAGTTAAAATAAATTTCTATAGAAATATAATTACATGGTACTGAACAAGCAGAATAAGTTCAATAGTTTCTAAAAGTAATTTGCATTGGTCATTTGCGAGAGAATATTCCCTGCCTTTGCGGCTCGACACGAAAGGCACGGTACAAGGTGAATTGGAATAGGTGGGGGGGGATCTTTCGCGAGAGATCGAACGTAAAAGCATCAGCATCACTGGAAGAGCTCCCAGTCTTTTATTCAAGACCTTAACGAGTAGTTCCTTAAATTCAAAATTTTTCAATTCGAACAATTAAGAGTTTCGCAAACATTTATAACAAAATTTTGTTACTTCAAAGTGTTAATTGGTTTCATTTTTAGTTGAACAAGTGAAAACGTTTCGGCAGTTTTTTGTAAAACTATTGTTGACATCACTTATGTGTCCATGAAGTGCAAGGTTTTAGACTGTCAAGGAAACTTTCCGACGTTTCTCGCAAATATCAGGTAATCATTCAAAATTCATTTTTTATTTGTGAAATCGGATTTTTTACTTTTGACTCAGAAGATTACAATTTATTAGTTTATTACGTGATTAGGTTGTTAGTTTAAGTAAGCTTATCAGTCGAGTGTTATTATTATTATTATTATTATTATTATTATTTATTTTCTATTACTTTTGTGTGTACGTATCTTTAAGTTTATCAGTATTCGTATTATTAAAAAATAATTATATTTAATGTTGCAGATGTTTTTTAATAATATTCAAACGTAGCAAATAATTATTGAAATTTATATAACAACTACTTTGTATATGACAGCTTCGTATTTTACGACATTGTACAACATTTATTAGTTTTGAGTAAAAAATTTCAATTCTTTACAATAGAAAAAATTTTGTGAAGCTAGACTATTGCTTAATTAAATTTTTCGCGGAATCAAATAAATAATATAATTTCTAGTTGAACATTAAACAAAATTAGTTGCATTTTATTGATGGAAAAAAATTTGCATTTTTTGCGTCATCTTGTTCAAGAATGTGTAATTACTAGCTTTTGTCACATTAATGTATACCAGAAAAAAATTAAGTAATCTACAAGAGACAGGATCTTTTGGTTTGTAAATAAGCAAACTAATATACCTGCTTTGGCATTATAAAATATGTATTTTCATTACGTCAGAATAACCTCGAGTTGATTTTTTCAGCTTCTACAAGGAAAACGAAGTTGGTTTTGATACATTGAAATAAAAACCACTTTCGATCAGCTCTTTGACCAATCATTAGGAATATTTACTAAAAACAAATATAACTTTTTTGATTACAGGTTAGCGAAGAATCTGAAGACACGTAAAGGAAGCCGTCGTGGTAACGCTGGAAATCGCTTGGAGCTATTAGTACTCGGCTACCTGCATCGTGTTCCATAGAGTAAGTTATAATGACTCTTTACCTTTCACTTTTTATTTAATTGAACTATTTCAGTAATTTCTAAGTCACGTCAAAACCGTCAAGTTGTATGATGCAAATAATTGTTGTCAAAGTAAAAATTTATTCTAATTTTATTTATTAAGAATAAAAAAAGAACGACTGCATGTTTTAAAGTGTTTTA